TAAAGGAATCGACGTTTAAGACTGGATGCAAACAAATTAATTATTTTGTTGAAAGACAGAGAGAATTGTGTTCACTTAATCATCATATCCTTCAAACGGTGGCGAAAGGAGCCAAACAACCGTAACTTCTTACAGTCGTGGTCAAGGTCTACTTGTCTACCTTAACATGGTGTATACTACTTGGTGTTGTAGTTCAAAAGCCACCTCAGAATCTATAGTCATTCTTAAGTAATTAATTTACAAACACTAGATTTCCACATTTTTGGGTCCAAAATCATTAATTTCAAAAATGTGTCAATATTTTCTTTAAATGATTGCACATATTTTCATACATTTTACTAAACATATCATAAATAATTTGAATACTATGAACGAAATATTTTTTAAATTATTAAATAATTGAAATAACTTATATGGCCTAGTACAGTATCTTATCCGATATAATAAACTCCTTACTATTTATGAATTATGGTTTAAAAATGTGAATGAATTGAATTGATAACCAAATAGATAGCAGAGAGAAGGCATACATTCATGCGGTGAGTGCGGCCGGAGTTGCCTATAGTATGACTCGGGCCTGCAGTAAAGGAGAGATCAGTGACTGTGGATGTGATGACAAAGTTCGGAACAAAGACACTCGAGGCAAGTGGGAGTGGGGCGGCTGTTCAGAAGACATCCATTTCGGCGCTCATTTCAGCAAAGATTTTGTGGACGTTATTGAAGCTATCGATTCATCGCAAGGACTCATGAAAGGAACAAAGACACTCGAGGCAAGTGGGAGTGGGGCGGCTGTTCAGAAGACATCCATTTCGGCGCTCATTTCAGCAAAGATTTTGTGGACGTTATTGAAGCTATCGATTCATCGCAAGGACTCATGAATTTGCATAACAATGAAGCCGGTCGTCGAGTGGGTGTCCAATCAATTCATGTGTCCACACATTTCAAACTTATTCTTACAATTGTTTTATTTAATCCATATTAGACCATAAGAGCCAATATGGAGCTTATCTGCAAATGTCACGGCGTTTCTGGTTCTTGCACTGTAAGGGTCTGCTGGAGGAAAATGAAACCTTTTAGAGAGATCGGCGAACAACTGGTCCGCAAGTTTGATGGCGCCACTCATGTCAAAGTGATTGAGCGAAAACATCAGTTCCGACTCCGACCCACTCGTAAAGACATTAAAAGGCCCTCAAAAAAGGATTTGGTTTATTTGGAGGAATCGCCAGACTTTTGCTTCAAAAATTCTTCGTAAGCTTCGCAATAGGATTGTCATGAATACGAATACAATGTATAAAATAATTTGTTTGAAATGCTAGGGTTGGAGTCCTGGGCACTAAAGGGCGCGCCTGTAATGCCACTTCATATGGGATGGACGGGTGCAGACTGTTGTGTTGCGGTCGGGGCTATCAGACAGTGGAGAGGGAGGTGGAGGAGAAGTGCAACTGCAAGTTTGTCTGGTGTTGTAAAGTCCAGTGCCAACAGTGTTCCAGTCGTCGTGAGGTTCACTTTTGTAATTAAATTACACTTCAATTCACTTACCACTCAAACTCATCATAAATTCATCATTTAATCAAATATGCATTTAATTAAAACAAGTTTATAAAACACATTTATTTCATTGCATTGTTGTCTCGTATATCAAAATCATGTAAATAATGATAATTATATAAATTACAAACATATTCATATCTCCTAATAATAAACAATTTCTTAACGCAAATTTTAATTGTATTTTTTGGGAAACATTCGTATGAATACCACAACCCATAAGAAAGTGAACGAAACAATGAATAACATAATCCATAGCGTCATGACTGTGCTCGCGGCCTGTATCAGAGGATAAAACCAGCATAAGAGGAATTCTGATAGACACAAAGCAACGCGGTTTTCTCGTGAAGGCAGGTTTGAGACTTGTGTACTGTTTATGTTTGTTTACCATTCATTAGATTCAATCAACCATTCGATGACCACTACATCCAAACCTCGGTATCCTTTTTGATGATCTCATTACTGAGACTACAGTTATGTTTGAGGTTATGAGTCAATTGAAGCATCTCTTTGGCCACTCTCTCCTGAATGGAGTTCTGGTATTTGATGACAGTCTCCAAGTCATCGCCACTACTCTTCTCCTCCGGAGTGTCTCTTCTTCTCAACTCATTCTTGGTGTTGAAGAAGAGCTCATTCCTGATGTCCTTCTCAACCCTTGTCTTAACGTTTAGTACGTAAAGAAACCAAAATAGTGAAAAGTGAAGTAAACAAACCAAGTGTGGTTACCCACTGTCATAAACACACCGGTAGTCAGCCAGGCTTCCCCAGTGGTTAACAACGCTAAGGTCGTTACGCAAGAAGAATTGCACTCTTTTGCCATAATTTGATAAATCATTTTCATTCACTTGACTTAACATATCAATGACATTCAAACCACTGTTAAGACAATGCATTCAATCATTGCATTCATTGCACTCTTACCACACATTCACTTCTTTCAGTTCAAAGAGTCTTTGGTTCAGCGCTTGGATGTACTGAAAGTGAAAAGATAATGCATTGAGTCATCTACTGGTGTACAATGACCACAATGACCATGGTCACTTACCCTCTCGAGTCTCCAATTAGTGTGTGTCTTGTCTTTCATGTCTTTCTCAACCATTTGTTGGCATTTATTGAGAAGACGTGTGAAGTCGACCTCAGATTTGCCTTTCAGTGACATTTGTGTGCAGTTGTCATCCAATGGATCCAATGGACAGTGAATGCGATCACATGTATGTCAACAGACAGACAGTGATGTGTTGTTGTGGTGCAACGCATGCGCAGTGCTCTCACTGGCAATACTATGATGTCATCACTGGTTTGATCCGTCCATGTCTTCAACCATCACAAGACATATCACTGAAGCCGACATCCCTTTGGACGCCAATCTAAACGCCTATCAGAACCTTCATCTCAATTGGATGGACAACACAATTAGCATCAACTCTGACATCAATGGACTGGAGGGCAACATATTGGGTGACAACGCGAGTGAGAGGCCATCGGTGGTGAACGTGAAGAATGGGTCGACTATGGATGAGCTGATGGGAGAGTGGGACACATTGGATGAGCCGATTGTGGCGACTCTGATGCGAGACATCGCCAGTATTTACGCTAAACTCAAGTTCATTATAATTCCCGTCTCTTTGTCGGACAGCTTTCGCAATGTATTAAAGGATTGGGATCTTTGGGGTCCACTCATTGTCACCACATTTCTGGCGCTAACCCTTCACCACAACGAGGAGACAATCGGTGGCACTGTATTGGTTGGGCCCCACTTCGCGCACATATTTGTTTTGATTTGGTTCTCAAATCTAGTTCTTAGTCTCAACTATAAGTTACTCAACAGTTGTCGCAAACGCAATGTCACCGAAAAGTCTGTCACTTATAGTCCGACGACATTCCAGTTGTTGTGTGTCTTTGGGTACTGTCTGTCGCCACCAAGTCTTGGCATTATTGTCCTCAAAGTCATCTCCATTGTGATGGCCACTCAAATCAAAGACTTATAAATACTCTTTGAGTATTAACCTCAGTATAATCCGAAGAATACCGGCTGGTAGACAAGGGTTTCTTAATATCGATTTATATAAACGTTTCTCTTCTCTGAAAACCGCCATATAGGGTAGCGAAACAACTACTTTGTCCTCAGTTGGGCTCTAATTACCACTCACTAGTGGTTCACTTATTTATCAATCAACTGCTGTAACAAAACCACTTTAAGTTATGCTAATTATTACAGTAACTGCTTTCCTTTTGCTATACTGTATGATATGTTTGTAAATAATTTAATAATAAAACAAAAACATAATTTTCATGTTGTCTATTATTTCTTAATATTTATGATAATTTAAAGAATATTCTGACAATGAGTCAGATAAATATGCCAGGGTCATATAGTGAGGTACGTGAATGAGTAAGTGAGAGAGAGAGAGAGAGAGAAAGAGATTATTGAAGTATAGATTCTATGTTATAGAATACAGTAGATATACTGTACAATAATAACTGATACTGTATTAACTCATTAGTGAATGTAACTTTTAGTGAATAAAAGTGAAATTAAATGATTACGTTATAGTGATTGTAAGAAAATGTCAATTGGACTGATATCAAAATAATGGTTGTGACACCCAGATATAATACCAATTGAATGTATGCGTTTGTGCATCAATAAATGGTAATACTGAAGTAATATTAGATACTTGTACAATTACCGTATATGTTATAGAAATGAATATTTGTGTTGAGCGCTGGTAGACAAGTGCCTTCCCAACCAGCACTAGACCAACCCATACAGGTTTGACAACACATGCATTGGTTGTCAATTTGATATTTACGTTATTATATCATATCATATACAGTACAGTAGTCTATTCATTTTATTCATACATTTTCATGATACTAAAAATAAATACTTAAATTTATAAACTTAATCATTAATTACTTTACAATTAAATATAATTTTAATTATTGTTAAATTGGATTTTTTAATTGTATTTTATACATAATACAAATGAACAAATTGTTTGTGTATTTGTGGCTTAATATTGTGCAGTGAATAGCAATTAATATTGGTCACTTATCGTACTAATAATATTTTATATGACAATAATTCTGGTACACAATTAAAAGTAAGTATGTTTTATATGTTTGTTTTAATCAAATATAACTCAGACTTTTCTATATTATTAATGGTAATTGAAATATTATGAAAAAATTACTTTAGAAAAGCAACAATAAAAATACTAAATTTATATTATATGATATATTGATTGACATGCAACAAGTCAGTAAACAAATTAGGAAATACGATAGACTGTATTTTGGTTATTTGTGTTATAAATGCATACATAATTAGTAATATTTTCCAGTAAATTAACTTGTTGTTG